GTGTGCGTGCGCCTTGGGGAGGGGGGCCCTTGTGTGCGTGTACCTCAGGGAAGGGGGTGGCCACCAGTCACGGAGGAACAGCAACAGCAGTAGCAACGGTAACCCTAACAGTGACAGTGACACTGACAACAGACACACTAACACCAACCGTCACTGTGAGGGTAACAGCGACAGTGGCAGCGCCCAGCTCGCTGAGGCGGGGCGCACACGGTGGGGAGTCAGCAAACCCTCATCCACAGCAGGGCCCTGAGGCTCCTGTGCACTCCCCCTGCAGAAAGAAGACATGCAGCCCCTGCCAAGAGCCTCCTTTCCTCTTGGCTGAGCACCCCGTGCACCCACCCCGGCCACCGTTAACTTGCTAAGCTGCGCCGGTCAGCAGCGGGCCCCAGTACCAGCAGTGGGCTTGCTTCCTCAGCCACCACCCCCCCATCCCTGGATTCCTGCGCGCAGGAGACTGGATCTTCACAGCCACTTGGCCTCCTCCTTCTAGCGTCATTATCTTTCATCATGAGGCCAACATCACCAGAGCCTGCCAGTATGTGTTCTAACCCATGTAAGTCTGCACACTGGTCTACAGCATGGCCAGTGGGCAGAGGCGGGTGGAGACACAAAGGCATAAATTCACAGCCTCACACTCCTTTGAACTGCGCAGATAAAAGCACTCCTCACTGGTAACCATAGCTCATCCTCTGAACCAACGCTTAGTAAGCACATGGTCCAAGGACATACCCCCCAACTTTTCGCCTTCGACAGAATGACAAACAACTAGAGTGGGTTTCCACCTACAAAAGAACTTCAGGTATTTCTCTATTAAAAAGCATCCGATGCCCATATTAATAACCATTTTCATAAATCTTTTTCCAGATGAGTTGCCTAAGGTTTTCTTCCAAATATAGTAAGAATGGTCAGGGCTCCAGGTCACCCCTTAAAATCTGAGGTCACCTTCCCCCCTGCATGAACAAATAAAGGAGGAATCAGTGCTTCTGAACTTCTTCTAACACAGAACCACGTAAGACAGTTGGAAATCCTTCACAGAGAACACACCTCTACATCCAGTTCGTGTATCTTCAAGGGAAACTCGGTCTTGCCGGTCCCTAGTGCCAGCGTCAGCAGCACACGGAATCAGGACTACAGGAGAGCGGCTGAGCCCTCAGTGTCCTGATGGGAGACCTCACAGTCTGAGAAGAGGCCGTCAGGTGACGGCAGAACCATGACCAAGGAACATTGTTTTTCCCCACAAAATGCCAGCCATTCACATAACACTAAAAAAAAAAGTTGATTTCTTTTGTTTCCACGTTTGATTAAAAATAGGAGCCAACAGATTTCCCATCCCAGCAGGTCACGCCCTAGGAATAGCCAAAGAGTAAAAATATCACGGTGTCTACCTCCGGTAGGTACTCTGAAGGTCACGCAGACCGACTTCTCCCCTCTTCTGCTGGGGGAGAGAGGTGCGGGCGGGCACACTGCGGGTTGGGGCTCTCTCTGCTGGGGTGGGCCAGTCCAGCTGTCCCTAGCCAGACCTCATGCAGCAATCTGATCAAGTCGGCTTGGGACTGCTCAGTTCCATGCTTCATACAGCAATGTATGTGGGTCATTTATCATCCGGTCTCTTCTCGGTTTGCCTGGAAGCTCATCCCGGCAGCCAGCGCTGCAGCCCAGAAACCCAGCGTCAATCCTGCGCAGCCGCTCTGTGCTGCGACTGTAGCTCATACTGATGAACTGACTCCAGAAGCCCAGTCAGGTGTGCCCAGAGACTCTGGGACAGACTCGCAGCCCGGGAGACGAGCCGACAGGGTGGCCTCCCTCTGTGCTGGGACACCTGACAGAGCCACTGTCCCCCTCCAAGGGACAAGGCAGCTTTTAAGTCAATGGTTCTTTCCCTCTCTGTCAATTCATATGGAAGCAGGAAACATGTGGGCTTGTGAAAGGAGGCCAGTTATGACTTTCAGCTGGGCCTTGCTAGTGAAAATCCATAGCTTTACAAGTAAATGCTGGGTTCAGGCTCTGATTTCTGTGTGGTCCACAGAGCAGGGAAAGAATAGCCTGGAAAGGATGGCAACCCCAAGGGCTTCCTCCTTCTGTGTAGTCTTTTCAAACGAGCACTCCCCACGAGAACGTAAGTACAGCTAAGCAGGGTCGTCGAACAGCACCCGTGAACACGGCTGGCTCCCTCCACCTGATGGCAAACCTCAACACCTGGGGAAATGGGTGTGGTCTGGACTTTGATGTAATGGATCAAATCGTTATAAAACAGTTCTCCAAGGTCCTCGGGAGCTGTAAGACCTGGGTGTGCCTGCTGGTCCACTCAGCTAGACAAATGGGTGCCGGTGACTCTTCTAAAAGTCGCGCATGCAAAACTGCCTTTCCCTGCATGTCCACAGCCCTTTGTACCAACTTCTATTACCGCACCTCTCCTAGGGCAGGACTGCAGGTCTGTTTCCCCTTCTCTAAGCTTCCAAACTGAAGACTGTGGGGCAGACAGCAGCTGCCCGTGACTGGCTGTTCGCTGGCAGACTACTGGTAAACCTTTACCCCAAGCAAACAAACTTTCACCCTGTCTCTGTGTGTCACCACCCCTCTGGCTTCAGAACAATACCCAGGCTCCTCTAATTAAGCCCGACAAAACTAGCCACACCCCAGCCACGGCAACACCAGGAAAGCCCATTGTTCCCGGCGCAGCTCTAATCAGGTCCTGGTATGTTTTTATGCTGTTATTGTTAGCACTATTCACGTGGTCTAATGGGCTTTACAGCCCTGCACAATGTCTGAAACTATAAACAAAAAAATGAGCTCAATAAATGTAAATGACTTAGTCTTCCCCAGCAACCATTACCATAAATCATGAATGGAAGGATCCGTGGCAATTCTGTGCGTTTTCTGCCTAACGGTCCTGGCAGCCGCACACGGGGCATATGTCTGCGCTTGGCTCCGAGCAGAGTGAAGGCGGTGCCTTCACCACCATAGGCTGGAGCCGCACTGGGTGCCAGAGCTTTCCACGTGCACGATACTTTCCTCGTGTACATAATATAACATTTTCTGCACCAGGTGAAACTGGGGAAATTAGTATTAAACCATTTATTAACTTGAGGTTTTGTGACCTCATTTTATAAGATGCAAACACCGAGCCTGCTGTCCTGACCCCCAGCAGGTGGGCTGTGTTGCATGGACGCGTGCACGTCTGAGAATTCTTTATGCTTATTGTGAACACTGACGTAGATAGCGCACCCTCACAGAAACTCTTCCGGGGGTGTATGATTTAACGAATCCCTCTGAATGCCAGCTAATTAAAAATATTTAGCAATATGCGGCTTCGTATGTACAAACATAAGATGTTCTTTTAGAGCATCGCACTATATATGCTTCAAACTCGAAAATCATTCAATAGAAAAACATAGGAAACACTTTACCCTGTCCCTCTGCTGAATCACTGTGGTTTTTTAAAGTTTAAATAAATTGGTTACACATGTTGAATTTCTTTAAAAAATGTATATAGTCGAGGTCACTGATAGACTTAGTCAGATGTTTTTAAGTTTTAAAACCAGTCTTTGCACACTTAATAGTAGCTTTATAATACGGTGCATAAAATATTTTTATTCCCTTTAACTAAGAAAACAAACAAAAAATAGTCATAGAAACACTTTTCCAAGTCAGAACAGCACTGGGAATGTACTACCAGGGAAGAGTTTGACCCGTTGTATTCGCAGAGTAGATGCCAATGCGAGACCTGCACGCACGCCTACATTTAGGTGACTCGCCACTTTAAATGCTGTATAAATTTTACATTTTTTTCTCTTTAACTTTGCTCTTTCCAGGTCATTTGCTTTCCTTTGGCAGATGCTCTGCACAAAGGAAGATGCTTGTTCCCTTCCAGCCAAATGGGAGCTTCTGTTTCTGACTCCCATTTCTGCCTGTTTTAGCCTTTACACGCGCTGAACTGCCAGCTACCGTCCCATCAACACAGACTCTCCAGTTTCTCTTTCTAAAGAAGGTAAAACATGAAGCTGCTTAATTCTCTCTAATGCAGCATGTTCTGCAATTAAGACGCACCTAATTACCATGTTTTCAACAGATGCAAATACAGCTCAATTAAAATTCTAGTTCATGTTACAAATTGAGCTACTCAGTTCTGCAAGGTATCACGTGAGGACGGGGTCACCGAGAAGTCTGGAAAAGACAGGGCACGTAGCTGTCAACGATTCTGGAGAAAC